AACTCATTTTTTATAGACATAGAAGTCTCTACAAAGACTTGGTCCTCCACAACACCAGAGCGAAAGCTTTGTCCGTCATCCCATCATGCCGCTTTGCCTCATGGCAGCCGGAGTCCCAACATACCCAAATGAATACCATACGAGAAAATCCAAAGCAATTCCAAATCCTATAAGAATTTCATAAATCTTGAGTTACATTTATCATATTTTTATACTGATTTCTTAAATTAAAACATAAACTTCAATTTAAACATTTTAAATTAAAAGATGTCAATTACCAAGTACCTCTGTTTAAGAATTTAATAGTCTTGATATATATAACATTATATTGGTACTTAAATAAAGATCCTTTTGCTTTCTCTCATCAAAGACCAGAAAGCTCTTCTTTTGCTTTTGATGGAAGAGAATTTTTGGGAAGATGTGTTCTTCAAGAATGATAAAAAGACTGTGTCTAAGTGGGAAAAAACCAAAGAGGAGAAGAATTAATAAACAAAAGAGTTTGATTTGATTATTTACCCTTTAAAGATTTTGCTTTAGGTTTTCTCATCTTGTACTTAAAAACAATACATACTTAAAATTTGGTTTCTATGGTAATTTTTTATATGACCCACCAGATTGGATGTGTAAAAACATGGTGGGTCGTTTTTGATTATGCTGGTTAGATATGATGTGGGATCTTTTCTTTTGGTGTGTATATTTTAAGACAACAGTAGGGGCGAGTGTCCTCAACACTTGAGTAATATGATTGTTATACAGACACAGGAAGAACCCCATTGACATGTGCCAGTTTAGTGTTTGAGTTGGCCAGAAAATGAGTTCATGATGCACACCACCAAATCCAAAGTCCCCCATCAAAGTCAATCATCATCCAACAAAATACCCAATTCACCCACTTGTCCTATAATCTACTAACACTACTTTGTGTGTGTGTGTGTGTGTGTGTGTGTATATATACTCTTGAGTTTCTGACACTAGCACTGACACTGACACGGACCCAAACCCAAAACACCATCAAATTCGAAATCCCGGCATGGAAAACCGCCGGAAAAAGTCGAGTTCCGGTGAGATCTTCTCCTTCCCTAGTACCCCAAATGAGGACAGCCAAAACTCGGACTTCGAATTCGGGTGCTTGACACCTGACTCTCCCTCTCAGGATCCTCACAGAGACTCCCCTGCCGATCATCTCTTCTGCAATGGCCGTCTCTTGCCACATGCTTTTCCCAGCCCGCAGCGGACGGCGATGGCGCGGCTCACGCACAGCAGCTCTCGAGCCACGAGCAGGACAAGCAGCGTCAGCAGTAAAGACTCGCTAATGTCGTCCAGGAGCAACAGCACCAACAGCAGGAGCAGCAGGAGCAGCAGTTGCAGCAGCGCGAGAACAAGCTCTAGCGACAACTCGGAGAGGAGAATGCTGTATTACACCAGAGTTTCTTCGCGCAGCAAGAACTCCACGACAATGGCGAGCAAGCTGGTAACTGCCCAGTTATATGGGTCTTCTCAGAGATGGCAGTACATCACTCCTGTGCCCGTTGCAGCTCTGAAACGCGAAGGTTCGAAGAGGAAAAACAGCGTTTCCGGCCGGGTTATTATCGGGAAAGAAGAGTTGAAAAAGACGAAATCAAACGAGTTGCGTAGAGAGGAGAAGAGTAGTAGACGCAGGAGCACAAAGCCTGGGCCTTGCAGAAGATTCTTCAGGTCTTTGTTGCTAGCCTGCAAAGAATGTCACGCCATGGAACCCTCAAGAAAAGATGATTTGCTATAAGCATAATATCCTTGTCTGCGACGAATCCTGAAAATTTTGAGCTTCCTTTTTCTTTTCAACTCATTTTCTTGGTTGGTTTTGCTTTTAGGTTTCGGAAAACCAAAGGAAAATTTGAAGGATTTTCGAATCTTCAAGGAAAACATCAAAAGGGTCTTCTTCTTTTCTTCTATAATTATTTGGGTATGATTTTGTTCTTGTAATAATCATTGCAAGAAGCTTATAGTGTTCTGTAAAGGTAACTACAACAATCACCATCCCCCAGCGTTCGCGACAAGTAATCATCAAAATTCAAACATCACAGAAATGTTCTTATTTTTTTTCTGCAAAGCAAATTCTATGACAGGACATGCTTGTTCTGGTTTGAAGTTAAAACCCAGCTCTCCATGATTCACGTACAGTGCTGGTTCATCTGCTAACTGCTTTTGGGTGAAGTAGGTTTGGATTTTTCTACTAATTTTTGCATGCTCTTGCAGGCTTTAATATCACTTGTAGCTTCTCTGTATGTTCAGATTGGGTCTTTAGTTTCAGGCTGTGACCCATTTCTATTGATCCAAAATTTTACTACACCCTATTTCAGTGAGAAAATCAACTCTACTATTCATTCAATGACATGGGTATTTCTATCTACGTCTATATGTATTGTTAGTTCCATATCCTTATTAGTAGGTTGTATTATATTAGTGTACATATACAATCCAATGGATGAAATGTATAAATGGGTAATTGGGGTTTGTTCCCATAGTGGGCTGCAGGGATCATCACCGTCTAAAATTCTCCATCACCCATGCTTGCTAATACGAATATAATGAATGTTTTAAGAGCAATCAGAGGATGCCTATTTTCGTCTCTTCCTCACAAACCTGTATTAAGAGTAATTATAGAAAAGCAGCAAGCTGGCACCATTGCAAAATTTCAAACCTCAATAATCAACTATCAAACTGTACAATCACATTTTAAAATCCAGCATATTCTGCCAACTAATTTTCGTTTTTAACGGTAAAAAAGTTAGATCGGGTATTAATTCGTTCATGACTATTCAAATTAACACGGTCTAATTATTACACAATGTTTTATTCACTCAGTTCGTAGTAACTCACTCAAACTAAGTCTGACTTGATTAACACAGCGTCGTTAGCATGTTTAATAAATTAAGTTTCATGTTCGCTAAACCAAGTATTATGAGTTAG